CCCTTCGAGTCCTTTCGTGTTCTTTGTCCATCCCCTCGTGTAACCTCCGTTGACTCGCGTACCCGTTACGAGCTTCCTCGAGTGTGGTGTTACACTTCATAAACGCTAAAGTCCTTGAGGTATTTCCAACACTCCCCTTGTTTCTGGAGTGCTGAAGTGTTCAGATCCGGTGACGTTTGTCTGCCCGGTCAGTAGCATGCAGTAATCGAATTTTGCCTACTGCTGCGAATAGTAGGCATCCAAGCTTCTGCTGATACTCCTGGATTTGCTTCGCGGGGAGTTTTGCGGAGGTGTTGTTGTTGTTCCCGTAGCGGTAAGGAGTTGTGACTGTAGTCGGCGTTAGTTCGAATTTCTTCGCGACAACGCCTGCGTACTTTCCAGCGTGTAGGTAGAACGCCGAGTTGTCTTCGACGATGTTTAGACCCAGGTACTGGGTCACAGTGTCAAGTCACTTCTCAGCTCCCCTTCGAACCAGGTGGCGATGTCGGTAGTGGAGCCGATGTAGAGCAGGTCGTCGACGTAGACGATGAGTAGGATAAATTCCCTTTCTTTCTGTAGTCGGTACATGCCTTGGTCGTGCGGCAGCTGTAGGAATCCGATTCTGACGAGGCGACCGTGAAGATGCTGCTGCCAAAGCTGCGGGCTTGCTTGATCCCGTAAAGGGATTTTATCAGCTGGCACACTTTTGTGGGATCGTCGATGAATCCGTGGGGCTGCTCGATGAAGATCTCGGCGTCCACAGGTGCGTATAGGAAGGCATTTGCGACGTCGATCTGGCGCAGTGGTAGTTTCTTCGTGGCCGCGACGGCGAGTAGAATGCGCAAGGAGGTGTGACGGGAGACTGGGGCGAATGTTTCTGTGTAGTCAGTTCCGTATCGTTGATCGAATCCTCGTACGACCCAGCGAGCTTTGAATCGTTCGATGGAGCCGTCCGCATTGGTCTTGATGCGGTTTACCCATTTTCCCGAGAGAACCTTCTTCCCGTTGATGTTCGTTGCAGGTACCAGCTTCCATGTATTTCAGTCTTGCAGAGCTTTCAGTTCCTTTTCCATTGCCTCTTTCCATTTCGCCTTGTGTTCCCCCCCCAGAGCCTGCGACAGAGTCGTTGGCTCGCGCGGAGATGGCGGCGGCGGATGCTGGACGGAGACCCATAAGCCGAGTATCTGCAGTCCGTGGGTGTGTGTCGAGGGGAATTTTCATTCCCCGAATAGGCTTCTTCGTCACCATCTTCTCGATCAGGTAAGAAGTTCGGGCCGATGCGTTCTGAGACATTTGTGTCGACTGGGTGAGGTGTAACGTAACCTTGGTCAGCGAAGTGGTAAAGGGTGTCGAGGTTGCTGCTATCGAGGGGATTGTCTTCGTCGAGTGGAACAGGCACGGAACAGTAAGGGAGTGGTCCGGCAGCTTCCGAAGCTCCAGGTACGTCTTCTTCTGCTGCGTCAGCCTCGGCAGCACGGTCGGCGAAGGAGCGAAGGCCCGCGAAGCCGTCGGTGGGGTCGTCTGTGTTAGCGACGTTGTCCAGGTAATGCTGCAGTGTCAGTCGTTCGTAGAAGATCACATCACGTGATGCCACGGTATTTTTGTTTTTTTTTTTTGTCTTGTAGGGCTGAGACACCAGTCGTCTGATTCCTCTTTTCGCCAAGTAAATCCTGAAGCGTTGTGACTGGTATTCGAGTGCGCCGTCTGACTGGAAGCTCTTGAGCTTCGTTCCTGATTCTCGTTCAGCGATGGGGAGCCACGTCGTGAAGGCTTCGAAAGCTTGATCGCGTGTCTTGAGGTTGTAGTGCCAGACATATCTTGTTGCTGCATCGATGAATGTGATGACATAGTTGAAGTCGGCTTCAGTGTCGTCTTGAGGCATGTTTAAGATGTCGCTGTAAACTTTTTCCATCGGTGCGTATGCAGGTGCATTTGGATTGTGATGTGATGAAAAAGGTTGGTGGGGAAGATCTGCTTCGGGGCACGTGAAGCATCGTGCGCGAGGTCGTCGAAGTTCTTGGCCGCTCGTTGTAAGAAGAGCGTTTTGTTCTAACACTTCGGCTTGGATGGTTTGTAGTACCGTGCTGTTTGCATGATGCCCAAGGCGTTGGTGCCAGATGTCGTCGGAGGCGCGATGGCCGGGCGAGCGTTGGTACATGTCGGTGTTGGAGAAGAACGCGACGACCGTGGCGGGACTTCGGCAGACTTCTCGTGTGATGGGCATAAGTTGATCTGCTTCGGTTGGTGGTCCTCGGATTGCTGGTGATGGTACTCGGCTGGGTCCTGCTGCTGTTACTTCAGGTGATGTCGAGGAAGGAACGCTTGCTGGTACTTGTCTTTCTTGTCGAATAACTGCTAACGCTCGTGTTCTCCCTGCTGCAGGTATGGTGTTGGAGTACCAGAAGCCATCTGGTTTGAAGTCGGGGTCAAGGTCCGGCGGGTGCATCCAAGCGGCGAACGACATGATGCCATCGCTGTCGGCAGTACCGCGGTCGAGGACGAAATCTAACACGAAGACGCCCGACTTCAGGAGAGCGCGACCGATGAAAAGACCGCCCTTCCCGTGGTAAAGGCGAAATTCGTTGGAGTCCGAGTCGCATTCCAGGTGAATCCCTTTTGCCATTAACTGGCTGACGCTGAGTAAGTTGTATCCCAAGTTATCGACGATTAGAACTTTGTTGAGTTGTAGTATGACGTTCGTCTCCATTGACTGAAGCTGAACGTCGCCTTGTCTGTTTGTTTTCAGATTCTCGTTGTTGGCGACGGTGATGATGACATCGCGGTTGAGGCGTCGCTCTCGCTGCACGAAGCGCCCAGAAGAACACACGTGTTGACCGCAGCAGCTATCCAAGAACCAGGTGTTCCGCCCGGTGGGTTCGGCGTTCGCGACTGCAGCGTATGTCGGATTAACCTGAAGTCCTTGTGAGCGCGACGGCGGCAGTTCTTCCTCGTCTGGAGCGTAAGTGGGTGGTGAGCCGGGTGCGCAGTTGTCGATGTGGACCATGCAATTGATGATGTTTGGTGTGCCTTGTGCAGATATGGAGGAAGGCCTCGGCGGACTTTCTTGAGTGGAGGCGACTTGTGGGTCTACTGGACGATAAGCTCGTGGGCGTGTGCAGTTGACTTTGGAGTGTCCAGATGTTTGACAGTTGTGGCAGAACGGCGGCACAATGGTGAGTCCTCTGTTGTCGCATTGATCTTGCTTGCTACGTCGGTTGTAGTTGTTGTCGTTCCTTCGTTGAGTGTAAAAGACTAACGGTTGCTGCTTCCTTGGTTGTCTTTCTTCAAACAGGTCCATTTCTTGTTGTTCAGCATGGAGCTCGGCGCAGAGGTGCATCTCCGAGATTCGTCTGTGGGCGCGAAGAAGCGAGCGGGTGGTTCTCCATTCTGACCCGAGCCCAGCGAGGACAAGCGTCATGAAGCTTTCTTCAGTGATTGTTCCTCCGCACCGAAGCAGGCGGTCGCGGAGTGTCTGGCATCGACTCATATACTGCATCGCCTTTTCCCCGGTCTTCATCTGTATTGTTGTTAGTTGCTGCATGAGTCTACTTTGTGTCACACTGTCGTTTGCTTGATAGAGACACTTGAGGTGATGCCATGCGAGTTCCGCGGAGTTTCCATAGCTCCGATACGTTCTGATGCTCTGCTGTTCTTGTGGTGACAGGTTCCGCAGGAGGACTGTGTACGCCAGCAGCGACTGATACGTAAAAATTTCTTGCTCTTTCGCAGTGCCATTGCTTGGAAATGGCAGGGACCCGTTGAAGTATCCCAAGAGATGCGCAGCCTCCATCAGCAGCTCGAACTCAAAGCTCCAGGTAAAGAAGTCATGTCCGTTGAACGGTGAGGATGTCTGCAGTTTGATCACGTGTGAAAACTGCGCCTGGAGACTAAGTATCTCGTTTGGTGTCTGTTGTGATGCAGCTGCTGTTGGTTGGGCACGGGGTGGCATAAACTCGAACGTCCCCGGTGAAGAGTGATAAGGCGCAAAGGTAGGCGCTTGATTGTGTCGCCCGAACGATGAGTTGTCGAGGCTCATCGGCGCTAATCCCATGTTTCCTCCGTTGCTCTGTGTTGAATGTGCAGGTGTCATTGTCTGCTGCTGCTGGTCGAAGTGTGACATGAAGCTGAAGAACCTTTCCATAAGGTTCGGGTCGACGCTTGAAGAGGGTGATGGGGTCACCATTTCAGGTGCTCTTCCTGTTGTTTCTTGAGCAGCGCCGGTCTCGGATTGCAGTCCTGAAGTGTGTAATCCAGAGTTGCCAGGTTGGGTGTCTTGGGCGCTGGGTGAGCCCGTAGAGGTCTTCTTGCCTTTGTTGTCCATGACTTGTAATCAATGAAGTTTGTTGAGGTGTTGACTGTAGATAGACGTTGTTGCTGGGAGTTTGGTCTCTGGCCAGCTCTCATACCATGTTGGGCTGAGAAAAGCCCTTAGGATCTTTCCAAAGACTAAGTCCAGTTGTAAAAGGAGACTTGAGTAGTGCAGCGGAAGTTGAGTAGTTGAACCCTTGTACTAGTATATGAGAACAAGTGATTGATTAAAGGAACAAGCATACATCAATATATAGAAAGTAGGAAGGTAAAGCAGTTGTAGAATACAATTGAAAGAGCGGTTATCGAGTCGCACAGCGACTCGATTGTCGCTTCGGTTACCATCTTTGCAGTTGTAACTGTCAGTCGCAACCTCCAGTTGCGACCCTTCGAGTCCTTTCGTGTTCTTTGTCCATCCCCTCGTGTAACCTCCGTTGACTCGCGTACCCGTTACGACCTTCCTCGAGTGTGGTGTTACACTTCAGAAGCGCTTAAGTCCTTGAGGCATTTCCAACAGAATTAGTAATTCCTTACTGAGGCTTGCTACAGGGCGTACGACTCGAACAGTCCCGAACCATCGCCAGGGTTCTAGACCTATCAGTTCGAGCCTCCTGGGCCTTTCCGGACCTCGCTACGACACATCGAGGCCCTTCAATACTTTTTCCGAACCTTCCGATCCTACGTCCAAAATCACCCTAGGCTTTCTATATATTGTATTGTCTTTCATTTTATTGTCATTCACTCCTTCACAGTTTCGCCATTGCCCTCCGCGCTACTCGGCAGTCCCATTCATAACAAGCAACGTGACTATGTTACCCAACTGCCTCGTGTTACATAGAAAATATCATACTATATGGTACAATTTGTGTAGCCCTTTCTGTAAGACTGCAGCTCCTGTCAGCCATCCATCAGTGCTGTTCACAGCAACAGTTCGCTGCTAAAGTCGACATGAGTTACTGTTCATGTCATGCCACTCCACTGTAGCATGTCAAGGGTCAAGAATCCAGGGGTGGCCTGCCACAGGGGGGAGAGGGAGGAGAGGAGAAAGCAAGGAGGGGTTTTGTAGGTTGCCTTGTTGTCTACAGCTTGTGGCTGAGAAGAAAAAGGTAACAGTTTTTTTTTAGAATTCTCAGAAATCGGCTAAAAAACAAACCGAGGTCCTGCGGGTAGCAGGAGCAGCAGGAGAAGAGGGTTGTGCAGGCAGCACCACTGACCACCACGCAACCACGGCCGGGAACAGAAACAAAAAGTATCTTGCTTACTTAAGCATCCACACCCTTCCCCCCATCACACCCCAGTCCCCTCCCCCCCTTTCTCTCTCCCTCCCTACTCCCCCTCAACCCCCCAAAGCCCCACTCACTCGGAATCTCCTCTGCTGTGATCCGTTCATCCGGATCAACTGTCAGCATCCTCGAAACCAAGTCCTTGGCAGGAAGCTACCAGCATCCCCCCCATCCCCTCCCCTTCCCCCCCCGCCTTCCCCCCCAACCTCCCCCCCCCCCTCCCCCTTCCCCCCCAACACACTCACTCAGAATCTCCACTGCTGTGATCCGTTCATCCGGGTCAACTGTCAGCATTCTCGAAACCAGGTCCTTGCCAGCTAGCGACACTATGGGCCACGGCGCCGCCCGGAAATCCAGTCTGCCGTCCAGAATCGCCTCAAAGACGGCCTCTTTGGTTGGCGCACGGAAGGGGAGGAAGCCCGAGAGCAGCAGGTGCAGCACGACGCCCAGGCTCCAGACGTCGGTGGGGCAGGAGTAGGTCTGGGCGAGCATCTCAGGGGAGAGGAAGGAGGCCGTTCCCACGATCTCAGAGCAGGAGGTGCCTGGAATAGGGGTCAATATGGGCGCATTTGGGTGAATTTGGGCAGATTAGGGAGGGTTTAGGTGTGAAGGGAGGTGTGCGGCAGGAGTAGATCTGGGGCAGCGTCTCGTGGGAGAGGAAGGAGGCCGTTCCCACGATCTCAGAGCATGCTGTTCCTGCAGAGGGGTGTGGGGTGGTTTAGATGGGTTGAATGAGAAGGGAGGGATGGGCAGGAGCGGGGAGAAGGGAGGTTGGGTGGGGTAGAGAGGAAGAGGAGGGAGGGGTTGTAGTGAAGAGACAGAGGGAGGGGAGGGAGGCCTAGAGCAGCAGGTGCAGGTGCCCCCAGGCTGCACACATCGGTGGGGCTACAGACATCGGTGGGGCTGCACACATCAGTGAGGCTGGGCGAGCATCTCAGGGGAGAGAAAGGAGGCCATTCCCACGATCTCAGAGCATGCTGGTCCAGCAGATGGGGAGGGGTGTGTTGGGCGGAGGCGGAGGGGAGGGGTGTGTTGGGCGGAGGCGGAGGGGAGGGGTGTGTTGGAGGGGTCAGGGCGGAGCTGACATTTCAGGGGAGAGAAGGGATGCTGTACACACGATCACTGAGGATTCTAAAGAAACACCCACAAGATGGTGAGTGTGTGTTGGGGGGAGAGGGCAGGACTGGGCTGGCATGCTAGGGGAGAAAGAGAGAGAGAGAGAGAGAGAGAGAGAGAGAGAGAGAGAGAGAGAGGGAGAGAGAGAGAGAGAGAGAGAGAGAGAGAGAGAGAGAGAGAGGATGCTCTTCACACGATCACAGGGCAAGAGGTGCCTGCGTTGAGTTGGGATGCATTTGGTGGGAGAGAATGGGGGGGAGGATGGAGGAAAGCGGCACCCATGAGACGGCTTTTGAGTCGACTCAAAAATGGAGGAAAACGGCACCCATGAGCCGGTGGCTGGGAGGAGGAGGGTTGGGGGAAGGTATGCAGAGAAGAAGGAGAGGGATGCAGTACCCACCTGGCTGAAAGAAGGTGGAGATCCCAAAGTCGCAGATCTTCACGTCCCCAGGTGCGCCTCCCCCAGAAACGTCCAAATCCTCCATGAGCAGGATATTATCCGGCTTCATATCTCTGTGGATGATGCCACTCGAGTGGCACTGTAGCAGCGCCTCTGCCGCTGCTGCCACCACGGCTGCTGCCTGGGGCTCGTTGAACGGCCCTTGCTCTCGCACTGCGTGCTGCAGTGTTCCTCCCTCACACAGCTCCATCACCAAGTAGACGGTCTGATGGGAACGGGAAGAAAGCAAGGGAGGAGAGGGGGAGGAGAGGGGGAGGAGAGGGGGAGCGAGGGGGAGGAGAGGGGGAGGAGAGGGGGAGATAGGGGGGAGCATGAGTGGCACAGTAGCAGAGCCTCTGCCACTGCCCCCACCACGGCTGCTGCCTGGGGCTCGTTGAACGGCCCTTGCTCTCGCACTGCCTGGTGCAGTGTTCCTCCCTCACACACCTCCATCACCTGTAGCCCTTAACGAAACATCACCTGTGGGCTGCAGCGAGGAGGGAAACCTGTGTAGCCATTAAGCGCTAGGGTGGGCTGCAGCGAAGAGGAAAACTTTAGCAAAAGACGGTAAAATCAGGCCCTCATCAGTGTTCCCCCCTCACACCCCTCCATCACCAAAAAGACGGTCTGATATGGGAGGAGGGGGGGGGGGGTTTGGTGGGTGAGGGCGCAGGCAAACAAAGGGAGGTAGCAGCGCCTCCGCCACAGCCGCCACCACCGCTGCTGCCTGGGGCTCGTTGAACGGCCCTTGCTCTCTCACTGCTTGCTGGAGGGTGCCCCCCTCGCACAGCTCCATCAGCAGAGAGACGGTCTGATGGGAAGGGGGGAGTGGGAGGGGTGGAGTGGAGAAAAGAGGGAGAGTTGTACGCGCCTCTGCCACTGTCCCCACCACACAGCTCCATCACCAAATAGACGGTCCGATGGGAGGGAGGAATGAGAACAGCAGGGAGGGGAACGAAGGAGAGAGTTAGTGGTGCTTGTTTCACTGCCTGCTGTACTGTGTGCTGCCTGCTGTTTTTTACCGTTCCAGTCTCTAACAGCCCTCGCACAGCTCTGTTACCAAATAGACGGTCTGATGGGAGGGAAGAATGAGGACAGCAAGGAAAGAAGGAGAGAGTTAGTGGTGCTTCTGCCATTATACTGGACTGGACTGGACAGTCCTCTTTCCTTCACTCCCTGCTGCGTAGCGCCTTCTTGTTGCAAGCAGACAGCAGCAGCATACTCGTTACGCGCAATCCCGCTCACCTCCGCATCTTCCACTGTCTCTATGAGCTGCACTATGTGCCGGTGGCCCCTTAGTGCCTCCAGAGCTGCCACCTCGTTCTGCACGTCCTCGGCGTCCTCTGGGGTCTGGCGTGTGGGGCATTGGGAAGGGTGGGGGGAAGGTGCCTTTTGAGTCGACTCAAAAGTCACCTACTGGCGTGTGGGACATTGGGAAGGGTGGGGGGAAGGGATCTCTGACCACAGGATCAGCAGTCAATTCGTCCCCAAAGTACTCCTTCCCCCCCCCATGTCCCCTGCCAATGCCAGCCAGGTGAATCCCTCCTCACCTCCCTCCTCACTGCTGCACTCACCTTCACATTCCCCTTGTTAACAACTTTGCACGCGAAATGCTCCCCAGTCTCTATTGATCGGCACACCACCACATCGCCAAAGTACCCCTTCCCCAGCACCTCCCCTGTCAGCTCAAACCGGGCGGCAAAGCTGTCCAGCGGCCGGCCAAGGATATTCCGCCACCTGGACCGCCCAGACGGGGACACGCCAGGTGCCGCTCCTGCTGCTGCCGCTCCTGCTGGTGCATCCCCCCCTCTTCCTCCTGGTGCCACGTGTCCCCTCGTGATTGGTGAGCTCTGGGAGTTGGATCGGGCATGGCCAATGGGAGAGCGCCCTGTGGCACTAGCAGCACCAGAAGCACCAGCAGCAGCAACGCCACTGCTGTATGAGGTGGTTCTGGTGTGGCCTGGAGCCAAGGAGGGGGGATGCTGCTGCTGATGATGATGCTGGTTGTGCTGTAAGTGCTGCTGCGAGTGCGGTGAGGAGATTCTGGCCTGCTGCTGCTGTGGCAGCATGTGGTGCTGGTGGTTGCTTGAAGGGGACAGCTGCGATGGGGACACTCGCTGCTGATGCTGATGCTGATGCGGATGCGGCTGCTGCTGCTGGTGTTGAGAAGGGGATCTCAATTTCTGTCCTTGGCTGGAAGACTTTTGAGGCGCCTCAAAAGGTGACCTAGCCATTCCCTGCTGCTGCTGCTGCTGCTGCAGTGGTGACTGCCGGGAGGAACGATGAGATGGTTGTTGCGGGGAATAGACACCAGACGGGTTTTGAGGTGAAAAACTGCCGCATGGCTGCTGGGGGGAATAGCTAGCAGACCGTTGCTGGGGGGAGTGCTGGGGAGAATGGTTTGCGTAGGCGTGCTTGGATGAGATGTTACCATGGAAATGATTGCCGGCACCATTGTAACCATCATCCGCATCATGGTTACCACCATGTCCACCAGAGTAGCCATCCTGGTAACCATCAGTGGCGCCCCTGTAACCATCTCCATATCCCCCACTGTCATCCACATGCCGAGCAGCATGCCTGTCCCCCCCATCCTCATATCCATCATCATCAATATATGCCTCCCCCCCATGAGCCACATGCTGGTTGCCATACCCCCTCCCATCATCACCATCATAGTCACCAGCATTATAAGCACCATCACCACCAGGAGCAAAGTGGCCCCTGTTCTCCTCTCTATAATCCTGTGATTCGTTACTGTAATCGGTATGCCCCGGCCCATCCTCGTTATAAGCCTCTCCGTGCCCTCTATACCTCTCGCTAGAAGAGCCGTGATAATCAGCTGCCACGTCATCAGCGTACTCATGAGGATCTGCTGCCAGCTCAGCAGTGACGTCATTGTGGTAACCACCATCTCCCCTCTCCTGTCTTCCATCCCCATATCCTACCTGATCCTCTTCCTCCTCCTCCTCCTCCTCCTCCCTCACTCTCTCCATCCCCTCCCCACTATGCGCCCCAATACCCCGCCCTCTCTCCTCATACCCATCATACGCATCACCATCACCATGCACATCTTGACCCATCTCCCGCTCGTTATAATCACCCTTAACATAGTCACACTCCACGTAATTACCCTCCCTCTCTCCTCCACTTCCCTCCTCACTGTACTCTTCCCCGCGCCCATCAACCCTCTCCTCTCCTCTGCCCCCCTCCCACTCCCCTCCTCGCCCAGCATCCCTCCTCTCCTCCTCCCTCCTCTCCCACCCGGATCCCCCTGTTGGACTCCTGACCCCTCTCCCCCCATCCCCTCTCCCCCCATCCCCTCTCTCCCCATCCCCCCTCCCCCCAGCCCTCCTCCCCACATCCCCTCTCCCGCCATCCCCCCTCCCCGCAACCCCCCTCCCTCCATTCCCCCCACCTCCATCCGCTCCCCCAGGGTCCCCTCTCCCCCATTCCCCGGCGCCCTCTCGCGACCGCCTTCCCTCCAGCTCATAGGGCAATCCCCCCTCATCCGCCTCCTCGTACCTGCCCCTATCCCTGTCCCTTCCCGTCTCCCAGTCTCTGCCCCTCTCCCGCTCCCTCCCCTCATCCCACCCCCTGTCCCTGTCCCTGTCCCTTTCTCCATCTCTCTCCCTCTCTGGATCCCTCTCCCTACCTCTCCTGGACCCCCTCGCATCATAGCCATCATCATCCCTCCTCCTCCTACCATCTTCACCCCTCCTCCTCCCATCACCATCACCATCACCATCACCATCACCATCATCCCTCCTCCTACCATCATCTTCATCCCTCCTCCTTCTCCCGTCATCAGCATCATATCTCCGTCGCCGACCCCCATCGTCATCATCATCGGACGATCCCGATCTCGAATCATCATCCCTACCTCCTCGACCCCTCTCATAGTCATCATACCCATTCTTTCGCATCCCTCCACCCCCTGCCCTTTCCTCTCTTTCCCCCCCTCCTCTCCCCCCTCCCCTCCCCCGCCTATCAGGGGACGGGCTCCTCTGATAATCATCGTAGCCCTGACTCCCCCGCCCATCATCGTCACTTCTATACTGTTGACGCGCCGCTGACGTGGCGCTCCCCCCCAGCGGGCGCGCGGGGGACTGGCTAGGGCTGTTGTCCCCCGAATGCCCCAGTCCGCGGGGGGGAAGGAATCGCTGGCGCGGATCCTCCCCCCTCCGCGCGCCCATACCCCCCCCTGGCGGCGCAAAGCTGCCCCTAGCAGGCATTGGCGCGGAATTAAGCGCGCGCCTATCTTCTGAAAACGCTCGCCGCAAGTGCAGGTCTCCCCGCCCCCCAGCAGTGCCTCCGCCCATGCTCCCCCGCCCGCCTCCTCCCCCGCCTCCGCTGCTGCCCTCTCCCGCGTATCCATACGCGCTGACGTGTCCGGGGCTGTAATTCCCCCCCGCTCCCCCCATTCCCCCCATGTCCAGATTAACGCGGTCGTTCTTTTTCATGGCGCTTAGCGACCGCGTGAGCCGACGGTCCGGCGGCCGGTTAAGTAACATTTTTACTTTCTCCGCTGCTTGCTCCGTCCGCGATAGAACCTTCGCGAGGTCTTTATTCCCACCCGGCCCGCCTGGGATTCCTGGCCTCTTACCTGAGCCGTCGTAGGGGGAACCTCCTCCGAACCCCCCTCCTGCTCCTCCTGCTCCTCCTGCTCCTCCTGGCCCTCCTGCTCCTAACGGTTTGTTGTACACCGCCCCAGGGCCCTCCATCGAACGCGATCTGAAAACGCTTCCTGATTGGCCCATTTCGCGGCACGACTGCGACCGCTGGAACGCGTTATCCCCCTTGCCGACCCACTCCGGCACGTGCTGCGACGAAAACACCCGCGTCGCGCATTTCCGCAGATCCTGCGGCGCGGGCGGCTTCCCGTGCGGAGGCGGGCCGTGCGCGGCTTCCCCCCGCCTCGGCGGAAGCCCCTTTTTCCCCACGGAGGGCACCTCGAGTCCGCCGACGTCCCCGAAGGGGGAGGCGGCGGGCGGCGGAGCGCTGATCGGCGAGCCTTCCGACTCCGACTTGGTAAACCACGCCATGACTTTGGTCTTAGACTTAACCATTTCCTGCTCCATCTCCGCCAGCTCTTCCGCCGTTAACGTCACGTCGCCGGCAGCTTTTTGACTGACGGACCGGTTCAGCCGGCCGCGGGGGGGAGCGGCTTGCTGCGGGTGGAACTGCGGCGGTTGGCGCGCGGAAGGAGCGGCGGAAGCGGCGGAATGGAGGTTCTTGAAGTCCATAGATTGGGAAGCTCCGCCGATAGATCTGGAACGGCGGAGATCGGTGCCGCTGCCGAGGCTCTGCCTGCGAGGGTCCATCCGCTTCGACATTGTCGCTAGTCTGAGAACTCCTGAGTGGTGTCCATGAGTGTCTGAGAGTGTCTTAGAATGTCCGGGAATGTCTAGGAATGTCTGGGAATGTCCGGGAATGTCTGAGAATGTCTGAGAATGTCTGACGGTACTGATGAAATTGGCTGGTGAAAACAGCGGTTGGAATCAGCAGACGTAATCGACAGATGAAACCCTAAATGCGGAAAGTAGGTTCTGAAGGAAATGAACCGTTTATGTACCAGCTATGCATAGTACGCTCATCTAGGCAGCATTGTAGGTGAGAAATGGTGAATGCGATGCTGCGTGGATCATTCCAATTAGCGGAGCTGCCGAGAAAAAATTGCGACACGAAAGAAGTTTGAGCATTGTCAAGGAAACTTAGAGAAGGTGCATCAAGGGACGGAATCCTGCAGTCAAACCAAAGTAGATTTGCAACTAAGAGGTTGCCATAATACCCCTGCTACTAACAGCACCAAAATACCATAGCAGCGTGGGGCTTCATCGCAGCCGTAGAACCGTTAGCCTGCGCATGTCCCACACATCGCTCCCACTGCTTCATCCATACCTTTCTACGAGTCCTGTAATTCCTGCACTTGGGGTCACTTTCACAACTGGGGGGACGAGAGGAGTGCACTGCACAAGTAAGACAATCCCAAGGCCCAAACCCAGGGAACAACCCCAAGGGATGATCCAGATTCCATTTTGCGAGGCGAAAGGGGGGAGGTGCAATCCAAGGGGCGTGCACTGTGCAGCTCAACGACTCCTATGACTGGGAAAGAGTGTTACAAAAAACGATTTTGCGAAGAAACTTTGCGACGTGATTGAACGACGAGATCTTGAGGAACCCGATTGTTACCAGCGAGCTCCTCAACGATCGTTACATCCCTGATGGTGTGGTGTCGTGTCGTCTAGCACTCGACACGACACCGGCTTCAGGTTTGTCAGGCAGAGGGATTGCTCCTCTCCTCTCCCCTTTCCAGATGCCAGTCTTCAACTGCCTGGGAAACGGCCAACATCTCCAACATGTTTCCTGTCCGTTTTCTCGCGTAGCAAGAGGGGCGGGTGGGTATCCTCGATTTATGCCTCGTCGAATAGCTTACAAGTAACAACACGTAAACCAGAACTGTAGTGCAAATCAAAAATATGTTTTGGATAATCATTTCAGAGTGAAGCATAAAATGTGCACTTCTCTTTGTACACATGCATTCGCATACTTAATTGCGACTTTTATTCGACACGTTTTTTTTTAATCTAGTAGATCTAAATGCCTATCCATACAGCTTGTTCCTTCGGGCTCCACTTCCCCAACTTAGATTCCCATTGTGATGTGTTTTACAAATAAGTGAGTATACAAATAACCTAGAGTGTTCGTAGGTAAATGCGGAGTCTAGATTGGTTGAATTACCTTTATTTTGGTGCAATCTAGTCCTCGTGGTGGGAGTGACTAAGTGCAGCTGAACTACACCTCCATGCAGCTAGTCTTGTAGGTGAAAGAATGAGCACCACATACTCTTGGGACTTGACTTCCCATTCTCCTCGGCGCGCTTAGCAGCTATTATCTATGGCCCGGAACCAGACGTCTAGTTTTGTCCGGCGTGCTTACACCTTGGCGCGCCATGGGAACTTCGGAGCGACGGTTTTGCGACGAAGCCAGCGACGGCTGAGCGACGACCTTGCGACGCCGAGCCAGCGACAGTTGAGCGACAGTGCAATCCCTGAGTTCGGCATGGCGGTCCGAGGTGACGCCCTAGTCTGAGGAGGTATAGGTACGCTCGGGCGCGTTGGCAGGGGGGAAGGGGCGCGCGGCTCTGTTCGGGCGGGCTCTGTCCGCTGGATCTCGTCCTGCCCGTGCGACAGCGTAGCATCGTGATATCAGCCAGTTCTTGAGATTTGTCCAGTTTCGCTGAAATTCGCAAGCGGCGGCCTCCCTTTTCGCAAACGACCTCTTCTTTCGTTCACGTCTCGCTCCCGTCGCAGGGGCTGGTCCTCCGCAGTCCGAGCCAACATACGGAGAATTGCGACGACAGACCTAGAGTAAATGTACATACATACATACGTGCCAATTTCCAGGCGTCTCAGCCCCAGAGACCCCGGAGGTAGACCCTGTGTGCATATTTAGATACATAGCTTCTCCTCGTCTCGTCTCGTCTCGTCTCGTCTCGTTGCTAGTTCCACATCTCGGGGAAACCATTTTCTCAGGCCCTTTCATGTAGAGCGTTTGAATCGGTATTCGCCTGCCAATCAGTGATGGCTGCGAAGAACCTAGAGATTGCCGAATCCTGGGGTCTCCTGCACCATGTTTCCGAGCCTGGGACTTCCGGCTCGTCCGAGCCTGGGACTTCTGGCTCGTTGGAGGCCGGAATTCTGGAATCCCAAGTCACGCATCACGCTGTGCGGAAGCACGTGGGGGCGGATATCGACCCCGCGATTGGACTTTCCAACGATCCGAGCCCGGCTGTAGTGCCAGAAGCGTTCCTCACGCGACATCACGAGTATGGGTCACGGGCTCGGGACCAGGCTCTGACAGAGCAACAATCTGCGATCTTCCCGCGAATTCTGCTGGATTGGAGGAGGAAACTGGGGGGGAGTTCTCCGGGGGTGCACGATAAGACGGATTTGAGCGTCAGAGGAGGCCGAAACGCCTTGGGATCGCGAGACGAGAAAGCGGGTGGGGAGAAGGGTGCAGCGAGTACGGTGGAGTCGTGGCTGTGGGTCTTTGGCTGCGTGGCCGGGCTTCTGGTGCCTCTCGCTATACTTTTCTTCTCGCTTACGACGAATCGAGTGAGTGAATTTGATCTTTTCTGATCTGGTCTGGTTTGATCTGATCTGGTCTGGTCTGGTCTGATCTGGCCTGATCTGATCTGATCTGATCTGATCTGATCTGATCTGATCTGATCTAGTCTAGTCTAATCTGATCTGGTCTGGTCTGGATTTTGGGCTCATAACCCCCCTTCGTTGACTTCTGAGTCGGCTCAGAAGTCAGTCTACTGATATTCTGGTGCTTCTTTTCTACTACTATTCTTCGCTCCGACAACAGAAGGAGCTGGGGGCATCTAGGCTTTGGCCTGCATGTACCGTTGCGTTAGGAGAGCGAAATCAAGATCAGATATAATCTTTGGATTCCGACCTCCAGGATGTGTTGTGGTTTGGCGTCGCTCTGCTGGACTGCTCTTTGCTTGCTTGCACCAAAGGCTCTGGAACGTGTTCTGTAACCTGAAAGAAACTCCCCTTCAGGTCACGGGCAGCCACCAAACATTTTTCCTGGAATTCGCTCTCCCTGCACTGCGCCCACCGCTACACACCTCTCCTTGCCTCTGTGGCCATCCTTCATTCCCGAACCTCAGGCTCGGTTGGACAGCAGTCAGCTCTGGGGCCTGTCCCCTTCGATGCGGTCGCCAGTAGTGGCGTGGGAGCGGCCTGGCTGTATCCTCACTCTGGACTCGCGCTACAACCCTGAGGGGGTGCGGGCAGTGGAGGCAGCTGTAGCACGGCTGTTGAGGGACCTGGGGGCGGAAGGGGAAGGGGTGGGGGGGGAAGGGGTAGGGAGAGAGGGTGTTGGGGCGGGGGTGGGGGATAAGCGGCAGGAGGGGAGGAGGGGGAAGAGCAGGGGAATGCAGGAGATTCAGGAGGTGAGGGGGAAGCGTGGGAAGAGGGAGAGGGATGGGGAGGGGAGGTGGTATGGAGGGCGGAAGGGGAGGCGGCTGAAGGGAGGAGGGAGAGAGGGGAAAGGGGAGAATGAGAAGGTGAAGGAAAGAGGGAGGCGAAGGGATGAGATGAGTGCGAAGGAGAGCAAGGGAGGTGAGAAGTCTCGGAGGGGAGGGGAGGGCAGGCAGAGGAAGGGAGAGGGAAGAAAGTCAGTAGGAGACAATGCCAGCTTTTCACAAGAGGGAGAGCAGAGGCAGGCGCGTGCAGGAGAAGGGGGGGAGCAGAAACAGAAGCAGATGCCCGAGGTGTGGAGGAGGCTGTACGAGGGTCTGCCCAAGATGCTGGATTTGGAGGGGAATGAAGTCGAGGGGAAGATGCCCATCTGGGTGACTCTGGCTGTCAACATGTGAGTTGGTCATCATGTGCTGAGAGGGGGCGTGCCCAAGGTGTGCAGAAGGAGGAGCAGCGAGGATGCCAGAGGCGTGGAGGAGGGTGTATGAGGGCATTTTGAGTCGACTCAAAGTCACCCAAGAGGGTGCATGAGGGTTTGCCCAGGTTGTTGGATTTAGAGGGGAATGAAGTCCAAGAGAAGATGCCCATCTGGTTCACGCTGGCCGTCAACATGTGAGTTGATACTGCTTGACGAGGGGAGGTGCCTGAGTTGTTGCGGTGAGCCTGAGTTGAGCCAGTCTTCTATCCTTCATCCCACCCTTCCCACCCCTTCAGGTTGTATGCACAGCGGCATGGTTATCGGCTGGTGGCGAAGAGAACAGACTCAATGTGAAGTCCCCCCCTCCATCCAACCCCTCCCTCTGCATCAGGTTGTATGCATGGCGGCATGGGTATCAGCTGGTGGCGTAAAGAAAGGCTCAATACATTCAGCAGATCAGGCTCAATGTGAAGTCCCCCCCTCCATCCAACCCCTCCCTCTGCATCAGGTTGTATGCATGGCGGCATGGGTATCAGCTGGTGGCGTAAAGAAAGGCTCAATACATTCAGCAGATCAGGCTCAATGTGAAGTCCCCCCCTCCATCCAACCCCTCCCTCTGCATCAGGTTGTATGCATGGCGGCATGGGTATCAGCGGGTGGCGTAAAGAAAGGCTCAATACATTCAGCAGATCAGGCTCAATGTGAAGTCCCCCCCTCCGTCCAACCCCTCCCTCTGCATCAGGTTGTATGCATGGCGGCATGGGTATCAGCTGGTGGCGTAAAGAAAGGCTCAATACATTCAGCAGATCAGGCTCAATGTGAAGTCCCCCCCTCCATCCAACCCCTCCCTCTGCATCAGGTTGTACGCACGGCGACATGGGTACCGGCTAGTGGCGGAAAGCGGGTCAAAATACACGCAGGATAGGCACCCCTCCTGGTTCAAGGTAAGGAAACTCCAACTAACGCCAGCCTGCTTGTATGCCATTCAAACATTTGTCCTTGTATCTGCTGCTTGTCAAATTCAAATCCTAGGGTTGTTGTTGTTGTTTTTTTTTTTTTTTTTTTTTTTTTTTTTTTTTAAATCTGTTACAGCTCCTTTTTGCTCCAAACTTTCCATGTGTTATGACTGTATCTGTTAAAGGTGCCGTTTTTGGAGGAGCAGTTATCCTGCTGCTGCCAGTGGGCCTTCTTTCTCGACTCGGATGCATACATGCGCATGAAGCACCACCGCCTCTCCGTGCATGATTGGGTCCAAGTCATCAGAGAGCCAGTGAGTGCATGCTCTAAACCACATGCCAATCTTTCCCTCTCCCGCCTCGCCATGCATGATTGGATCCAAGCCATCAAGCAGCCAGTGAGTGCATGCATGCTCGTTCTATCTCTAAGTCTGCAACTGCCTTTCCTTTTCCTTTTGAGAATCCTGAAATAAAAAATCTTATTTCCTCTCGTTGCTGGGAGCCAACCTTTGTAGGCTCCCTGCACAGCCAGTTTGTGGTCTCAGCTCACAGGCTGCTTAGTGACTTGGATCCAATTCTCTGAAATTCTTAGCAGGCGGGCTGTCAATCGTCAAGCAATTTTTGGGCGCCTCAAAAATAGACTGTCAAGAATTCTCAAAATCCCACAGGTCCAGCCCGCAGCACTACAAGTGGGATTTGTAGCCACAGCCTTTCTGCCACAGCCCCGCCCTTGCGGCTACAGCCCCGCCCTTGCTGCCACAGCCCTGCCCGCAACGCTACAAGTGTCGCTCCCTCCCTTACCCCCCCCCCCCCCCTTGCCTTCTATTCAGAACCACTTCAGCTGACTCTTCGAAGCCAATCTCAGACTCTCGAGACGACCAGGCGTGGGTCCCGTCCCGTCCCACAGAAGATGTCGAACTGAACCGTCTCTGGTTGTCTTCCTCCTCATCCCTCCTCACCCCTCCACACCCCTCCACACCCCTCCCCCTGCCTTCTCTTCAGAACTACTTCAGCTGGCTCTTCGAAGCCAATCTCACGGACTCTCTAGACGGCCAGGTGTGGGTCCCACAGGACCCCGCCCTGCTGCTACAGCCGGCCACCGCGCTACAGCCGGAGGGGCCGGTAGCTCTGATACCAAGGAATGGGGATTCGAGGGGGGGATATGTGGGGGGCGCCAACATGCTGTTTAAGGCGGAGAGGGACTATATCAATGCAGGGGTGATGCTGTGGAGGCGATCCCCAGACAGCTTCAAGGTGAGAAGGTGGCTCAGTCAAAGGCTTAGGGTTTAAGAGTAATGTGGAGCCCAAATGGTGGGCGCCAGAGTGTGGGGGGCGTGAGCACGCTGTTCAGGGAGGAGAGGGACTACAACAACGCGGGGGTGATGCTGTGGAGGCGGTCCCCAGACAGCTTCATGGTGCGGGTTTTGGGCGGTTTAGGGTCTTCCACATAGGGGGTATCTAGGGGGCGCGAGCACACTGTGCGAGGAGGAGAGGGACTATATAAATGCCGGGGTGATGCTGTGGAGGCGAGGCCCAGACAGCTTCGAGGTGAGGGATTGTATGGAGGGTGAGGGAAAATCCTTCCAGTGAGGGTGAGGGAAAATCCTTGACTGTTTTTGGCGAAGCACACGTCCAGTCCTTTCAGGCTCGTGACATTGTCTTCCACATTAGCCTGCTCCTTCCCCACTCCCATTATCCCTCTGTTTTTTTCTTTCTTTCTTTCAAGGGATGTGTGGTACTAGAATGTGACTGAAGACGAGTACCACTGATACAATCACGAGTACAGGAACATTGCAAGGATAAGCGTCGTTCCGCTGCTGTCCCCTCCCCTCCCACTGACCTCCCTCAGTTGTCCCCTCCCCGCCCACTGACCTCCCTCAGTTGTCCCCTCCCCTCCCACTGAACTCCCTCAGTTGTCCCCTCCCCGCCCACTGACCTCCCTCAGTTGTCCCCTCCCCTCCCACTGACCTCCCTCAGTTGTCCCCTCCCCGCCCACTGACCTCCCTCAGTTGTCCCCTCCCCTCCCATTGACCTCCCTCAGTTGTCCCCTCCCCTCCCACTGACCTTCCTCAGTTGTCCCCTCCCCTCCCACTGACCTCCCTCAGTTGTCCCCTCCCCTCCCCCTGCCTCCCTCAGTTCTTCAAGGAATGGTACAATGTGACTGAAGACGAGTACCACCGCTACAATCACGTATGGGAGCAGTCAAATCTCAACAGGGTTGCTCGTGAGGAGCGGTGGAGGGGGAAAGTGGTAGTGGTGCCGTATCGTGAGCTTACCGGCCCGGAGGGAGAGATGGTGCGGCATGTGTGGGGCAGCTTGCCGAAGGAAGCACATGAGAGGGTGGTGTATGAGGCGTTGGAGGAGGCACTCGGCTTACCCTAGTGAGGAGCAGTGGAGGGAGGAGTAATGATCGTGCCGTGTGGCACAGAGGTTATGGTGCCAGAGGGAGTTATGGTGTGGCATGTGTGGAGGAGTGTTGTATTCCTGTAGAAGCATGAGAGGGTGGTGTATCAGGCACTGATGGATGAGGCACTTGGCTTGTCTCAGTGAAATCATGCTTCTACACGTCCGAGCCATGTGTTGGGTAGCTGAGTAAAAGAAGCACATGAGAGGGTGGTGTATGAGGCATTGGAAGTGGCACCGGGCTTGCCCTTGTGAGGTGGTCGTGTGTTTTGGGCCCAGAGTAATTTTTTTTTGCTGCGGCATGCATGGAGTAATCTTTTGATGAAGGGACATACAAGAGGGTGGTGTGTGAGGCCAAGGAGTAGGCATTGGGCCGTGACGTGCTCTGTTTTGAGTGCGTAACGACGTGCTGGATGGAATGGTCCCATCGCATCACATGGATGTGATGTGTGCAGATTGGATAACGTTGGATGATTTGTTGTTGTAGGATCACTCTGTAGAAATCGGGCATTTCATTGTTGGTTGTGTTGTGTGAGACTATTTTTGCTACGAGAATTCTTTTGGCATGTATAAATGCAACTATCCCCAGCATTGTATGCTGAATTTTGTTTTCGAAAAGGTGCAAACAAATTCACACTAATAGACAACAGCGGGAGATCCCATACATGCGAATCTGCTTCCCACGTGTAGTCGTTTGAGGCCGACTCTGGTTGGTCGGGTGGTCGTCACAGCAGAGGTCACACGAGAGGTCATTGGTCCCTTCAAATCCACGTGTTATGAGTTAATTGTTGGGTCGGCTCAAATCCACATGTCCAGCCGCAATTCCACCTGCCCTCGGGTTTTGGTCAAACAATATCCACCGGGATCCAAACCCTGGGCTTTGCCGAAATCCAGTCCCTGGACTTCACGGCTTCACCCAACCCAATGCCGAAGCCGCAAAAACCAGTAAATTAGGAAGTTCCGGCAATGACTGTCAGATTTCTTGCTACAACCCGTGCGTTCTAGCGCGCGCGATGGAGCTCCATAGCGACGGCTCTGCGACGCCACGCCAGCGACAGCTGAGCGACAGTGCAATGGCAGTGTTGACCATGTTGCTCGTGCGACCTCGTCCGTATGCCAGCCGGCTTTTCAGAATTGCTCAGTTTTATCCCCCCTTGTGCGGCACGCGAGATTTGTTTTCTAGAAAAACACGCCTCTTTACACCCCGAGCCAAGACGGAGTTTGCGGATGTGCTAGACTCAACGCTGTGTACATTCACTCACCTCCTCGTCTCGTCACCGCCGCTGGTTCCGCATCTCGCGCGAGCCATTTCGAGTCGACTGCCGTAAAGCGGCAGCTCGCTTGGCCGCGGGCAGCTCGCTTGGCCGCGGCAGCTCGCGTGCAAAGCCTTTGAGTGCTCGCATTTCGCGCTTTCGTGATTTTCTCCCATCGGCTCTTTCCCGAATGCGATGGCCGCGGAAGCTTCTACCAAGATTGCGGATCTCCGAATTTACCCTCCGGCGAGAGTCTCCGGCCGTCACGGTGACCGTCGTTCTGAAGCGGCATCATCCGAGTGGGATGCTTTAAAATCGCATGGCGGAGAGGCAAGAGCGGGTTCTGAAACGACTCGAGGCGGCCTGAAAGGCGCTGCGAGGGTGACGGGCACGTGGCTGTGGCTCACTGGGTGCGCGGTCGGGCTTCTGGTCCTGCTCGCAGTCCTCACCTTCGCGCTCGCGACAGATCTAGTAGTGAGCAGCTGGTCTGTGATGACGTCATCGCACTTTCGGTTTTGCTGCATGCAATGTCACGGTGACGTTAAAAAATACCTCGTCCTTAGTCGAAATAAACCTTCCATGAGTGTCATACTATGCATACTAGCTCAGCTCCCCCCATCACGGCCTGCCCATGCAATGCATGTGGCACAGCCCTCTTCACGGCCAGTTTCCATATGCTCACTTTCCCCATCACGGCCTCCCCATGTTCGTCCCCCTTCCCCCCATAACCGTAACCTTCTCACCTGCTGTCCCCTTGCCACCTCGCAACCCCTAGTTCCGAGGCTCTGAAACCGCTGGGGGAAGTTGACTTTAGAGTTGACTCAAAACAATATGACTTCCGACCCATCGACCGCTTGTTCCAGAGGCTCTGAATCCTCTCCCTTTCGGTACGGTCGCTGGGGGGAGTTGACTTTTGAGTCGACTCAAACCGAGTTGACATTTGAGTTGACTCAAAGGTCCACCCGTCGACCCCTTGTTCCAGAGGCTCTGAAACCGCCGTGCGGTCGCCAGAGTGGGAGCAGCCCCCCGCATCCTCTCTCTGGACTCTCGCTACAACACAGAGGGGAGGGTGTGCAGCCTGTGGAAGCGGCTGTAGCACAGCTGTAGCCCGCGCATCCCCATCCCCTCCATAACTCGACCTTCAGAGCCGCTGTCTTCTTCTTTTCTCATTTCCCGAACCTCAGGCTCGGTTGGACAGCAGTCAGCTCCCCCTTCCTCTCGGTCGGCTGTAGCAGTGTTGGAGCGGCCCAGCTGCATCCTCACTCTGGACTCGCGCTACAGCCCTGTCTGACATCCAATCTCTGTTTCCCCCTGCCCCCCTCCCCCCTCCATGCATCCCCACTCTGGACTCGCGCTACAGCCGTGCTGCTGTCTCGTTCTCGCGTCCCTGCGTGATCTGAATCCTCGGTTTCCCCCATCCCCTCCACCCCACAGGCTGTAGCGGCGGGGGAGCAGCCCGGCTGCATTCTCTCTCTGGACTTGCGCTACAGCCGTGCTGCTGTCTCGTTCTCGCGTCCCTGCGTGATCTGAATCCTCGGTTTCCCGAACGCCACTTCCCTACAAGGAGCCGTTTCCCTAGACTTGAAGCGCCCCGAATCTGAATCCTCGGTTTCCCGAACGCCACTTCCCTACAAGGAGCCGTTTCCCTAGACTTGAAGCGCCCCGAATCTGAATCCTCGGTTTCCCGAACGCCACTTCCCTACAAGGAGCCGTTTCCCTAGACTTGAAGCGCCCCGAATCTGAATCCTCGGTTTCCCGAACGCCACTTCCCTACAAGGAGCCGTTTCCCTAGACTTGAAGCGCCCCGAATCTGAATCCTCGGTTTCCCGAACGCCACTTCCCTACAAGGAGCCGTTTCCCTAGACTTGAAGCGCCCCGAATCTGAATCCTCGGTTTCCCAAACCCCTCTTTCTCCGAACCCCCACAGAGAGCCGGTTTTCCCCCCCATACCCTCACCTCTGTACCGCAGGGTGTTTTTGAGAATGCTCAAATACACTGAGCATGTTCCCCCCCACAACCTGACCTTGTGAGCCGTGTTTCACCATGTGTCTCTCCCGAGTCTCAAGGTCCGTTGGACATCAGCGAGCTGTGGAACCTCTCCCTTCCCTCCTCACTGTCAGTGCAGGGCGTGAACTCATCCCCTTCCGCTGTAACCCTGTTCCCCTCTCCCCATCCCCATCCCCCCACCCACACCCATCCCCCCACCCACACACCTCAGGATCCGTTGGACATCAGCGAGCTCTGGAACCAGGCACCTTCCTCTCTGCCGGCTGTAGCGCCGTGGGAGTTGCCCGGCTGCATTCTCACTCTGGACTCGCGCTACAACCCTGAGGGGGTGCGGGCTGTGGAAGCGGCTGTAGCACGGCTGTTGGGAGACCTGGGAGAGGATAAAGAAGGGGGGGGGGTTGATGGGGGGGGGGGGAGGGTGGAGGGGCGAGGATGGGGGATGCAGAGAAAGATGGGAGGAGGGGGAAGATGTGGGTAGGGGAGGAGAGGGAGGAGGAGAGGGGGAAGGCAGGGAGGAGGGAGAGGGAAGGGGAGCAGAGATGGTTTGGAGAACGAAAGGGAAGGCGGCTGAAGGGAGGAGGTGGGGAAGGGGGCGAGAAGGTGAAAGATGCTGAGATATTTGGCAAGAGAGGAAAGAGCGATATGGCTGGGGAGGAGAGCAAAGGAGGAGGGGGTGGCGAGGGTGGTGAGGGTGGTGAGGGTGGCGAGGGTGGTGAGGGTGGTGAGGGTGGCGAGAAGACCCAGGAATTGAAGAAAGGAGGGGGAGACCTGGTTGTCGGAGGGGGTGGTCAGGGGATGCCTGAAGAGTGGAGGAGGTTTTATGAGGCTCTACCGAAGATGCTGGACGGGGCGGGGAATGAGTACCGGGGCAAGATGCCCATCTGGGTCGCTCTGGCCGTCAACATGTGAGTCCATGCTGCGCTGAGAGAGGGGAGGTGCCTGAGGGGAGGTGCGACGAAGACTGTATGGAATTCAATCGAAATGCCCATCTGGGTCACTCTGGCCGTCAACATGTGAGTTCATCCCCCTCCCCCTCCCACCTCCTTACCTCCTATTCCTCAGTCAGCAGAGTCAACGGGAAGTCCGCCCCCCGTCCTCTCCTCCCCCCTCCCTTCAGGCTGTATGCATGGCGGCATGGGTGCCGACTGGTGGTGGAAATTGGGTCCAAGTGCACACAGGACAGACGTCCCTTCGAGTTCAAGGCGGGTGGCATCTAGCCTGCCTCTATTTTCATTCAAGCATTTATCATTGTGCAACCAGGCTGTATGCACGGCCGCATGGGTGCCGACTCACAGGTGGCAGAAAGAACAGGTCAACAGAGAGCAGCAGAGTCGATGGGGAGTCCCTCCGTCCTCTCCTCCTCCCCTCTCCCTTCAGGCTGTATGCACGGCGGCATGGTTACCGCCTGGTGGCAGAGAATGGGGCTAAGTACAAACAGGACAGGCACCCATCCTGGTTCAAGGTGAGGGACATCCAGCCTGCTTCTACTTCCGTTCCACCATCATTCGTCGCTATATCTCGACGTTGTATGCGAGGCAGCATGAGCACTGGTTGGTGGCGGAGAACGGCATGGGTCCAAGTGCTCCACACAGGACAGGCACCCGTCCTGGTTCAAGGTGAGCAGACCGTGCTCAGGATAGCATGGCATGGCATGGCATGGCTTGGCAGGGCATGGCATCGCAGAGCATAGCACAGCATAGCATAACACGGCACAGCATAGCATAGCACAGCATAGCATAGCACAGCGTAGCATAGCACAGCATAGCATAGCATAGCACAGCATAGCACAGCATAGCATAGCACAGCATAGCACAGCATAGCATAGCATAGCATAGCATAGCATAGCATAGCATGGCATAGCATAGCATAGCATAGCACAGCATAGCACAGCATAGCATAGCACAGCATAGCATAGCACAGCATAGCATAGCACAGCATAGCATAGCACAGCATAGCATAGCACGGCATAGCACAGCATAGCACAGCACAGCATAGCACAGCATAGCATAGCACAGCATAGCATAGCACAGCATAGCACAGCATAGCATAGCACAGCATAGCACAGCATAGCCTAGCACAGCATAGCATAGCACAGCATAGCCTAGCACAGCATAGCATAGCATAGCACAGCATAGCACGGGACCGTGCAGTGCAGCACAGCACAGCACAGCGCGTGGTGCTGCCAGCCAGTGGGCCTTCCATGCACACACGAGTGCACAACTCTAAGACCGCCTTGAAGCGGCCTTCCTGATGCCCTTAATACCCTTGTGGCTTTTGAGTCGACTCTGAAGTCGCATTAAAGCGGCCTTCCTCATGCCCTTTAGACCCTGTCATCCCTGCCGGTGCCATTTCTGGAGGAGCAGCTGTCGTGCTGCTGCTGCCAGTGGGTTAGCGTTTCGTATTGCTGTACTCACTAATGCACAACTCGTTTGACTGCCTTGGAATGACCTTCCTCGTTCCCTGCACTCCCTGCACTCCCTGCACTCCGTTTCTTCCCCCGCATTCCCTGCAGGTGCCATTACTGCAGGAGCAGCTGTCCTGCTGCTGCCGGTGGGCCTTCTTTCTCGACTCAGATGCATACATGCGCATGAGCCACCACCGCCTCTCCATAGAAGCATGGATCCGAACCATAAAAGAGCCAGTGAGTGGTTGCTATTATTTTATGTCCCTCTCTTTGAATCGGATGCATACATGCGTATGAGGCACCACCCCTTCTCCATCAAACCGTGGATCCACGCCATCAAATAGCCAGTGAGTGCTTGTACTCGTCTGTGCTTGATACACATGGCATACACCCCTTCCTTCTCTCTCTCTCTCTCTCGACTCGGACGCGTGCATGCGCATTAGCCACCACCGCGTCTCCATCAAAGCATGGATCCACGCCATCAAAGAGCCAGTGAGTGCTTGTAATCGTCGGCCATACACATGTGCTTGTAATCGTCGGCCATACACATGTGCTTGTAATCGTCGGCCATACACATGTGCTTGTAATCATCCGCCATACACATGTGCTTGTAATCGTCGGCCATACACATGTGCTTGTAATCGTCGACCATACACCTGTGCTTGTAATCATCGGCCATACACCTGTGCTTATAATCGTCGGCCATACACCTGTGCTTGTAATCGTCGGCCATACACCTGTGCTTGTAATCGTCGGCCATACACCTGTGCTTGTAATCGTCGGCCATACACCTGTGCTTGTAATCGTCGGCCATACACATGTGCTTGTAATCATCCGCCATACACATGTGCTTGTAATCGTCGGCCATACACATGTGCTTGTAATCGTCGACCATACACCTGTGCTTGTAATCATCGGCCATACACCTGTGCTTGTAATCGTCGGCCATACACCTGTGCTTGTAATCGTCGGCCATACACTGTGCTTGTAATCGTCGGCCATACACCTGTGCTTGTAATCGTCGGCCATACACCTGTGCTTGTAATCGTCGGCCATACACCTGTGCTTGTAATCGTCGGCCATACACCTGTGCTTGTAATCGTCGGCCATACACATGTGCTTGTAATCGTCGGCCATACACCTGTGCTTGTAATCGTCGGCCATACACCTGTGCTTGTAATCGTCGGCCATACACCTGAACCATCTCTGTATTGTCTTTGCCTCCTCACCCCTCCACACCTCTCTGATCCCCTCCCCCTGCCCTCTCTTCAAAACTACTTTGATTGGCTGCGGAAGGCCAATCTCACAGACTCCCTGGACGGCCAGGTGTGGGTCCCATCCCACAGGACATGCAATACTGAACCGTCTCTGATTGTTTTTGCCCCCTCACCCCTCCACACCCCTCTCCACCCCTCTTCACCCCTCCCCCTGCCCTCTCTTCAGAACTACTTTGATAGGCTGCTGAAGGCCAATCTCACAGGCTCCCTGGACGGCCAGGTGTGGGTCCCACAGGACCCCGCGCTTCTGCTACAGCCGACCACAGCGCTACAACCAAACGGGCCGGTGGCTCTGATACCAAGGAATGGGGACTCGAGGGGGGGGTATTTTGGAGGCGCCGACAAGTTGTTTAAGCGGAAAACGGACTTCATCAATGCGGGGGTGATGCTGTGGAGGCGATCGCCAGACAGCCTCAAGGTGGGATGATTGGGGTTCAGTTTATGTGGGAAATGGTGGGCTGCTAGCATGCTTCAAGAGGATGAGAGGGACTACATCAACTAGGGGGTGATGCTGTGGAGGCGATCGCCAGGCAGCTCAAAGGAAGGGGATGATTGATCAAGGTGAGAGATCGAGTCACGCAGTAGTGCGTCGGGGGTATGTGTGGGGTATGTGGGGAGTATGTGGAAGCGGCGGGGGTCAGACAGCCGTGAAAGGGTAGGAGGCAATGCGAGCCAGCCTTGAAGGGGTAGGAAGCGATGCGAGTCAGCCTGGTCAACAGTTCTGAATATTGGCCGAGCCTGGTCTTTCAAGGGTTCGAGCGTATGCAATGCTGTGCGGCCAGGAAAGGAAAAAAAGAATCTTCCAGCCAGCCACTGCATGTCTATCCACAGGTCAGTTCTTGGCCTCGTGAACGGTTTTCTAGAGTTCTTTGAAATTTATCGCATGTCTTTTGGTCCCTAGTGGTTTTCTAGAGTTCTTTGAAATTTATCGCATGTCTTTTGGTCCCTAGTGGTTTTCTAGAGTTCTTTGAAATTTATCGCATGTCCATCCACAGCTCAGTACCCAGCCTGAGACTGAAGCTTCAGCCCGGTAAGGGAATAACAAACCCTTCCAGCATCCTTGAACTTTTCCCTGTTCCACTTCCTCACAGTGCTGGAAGCAATGGTAGAATATGAATGAGGATGAGTACCACCGTTACAATCACGTCTGGGAGCGTTAAGATCCTATTGAGTCGAATCTTAAGTCATCTTGCTACAATCACGTCTGAGAGCATTAAGATCCTACTAAGCTTGCAAATATTGGATGATTACTAAGGGTGAAATCATTACACTATTGTTGCCCCCTCACCTCCCATTCTCTCCCGCAGTTTTTGAATCAGTGGTACGATTTGTTTTGGGACGAGTACCACCGCTTCAACCACGTCTGGGAGCAGGCAAATCTCAACGTGGTCGCTCGCAAGAACCAGTGGAGGGGGAAACTGATAGTGGTGCCGTATCGTGAGCTTACAGGCCCAGAAGGAGAGATGGTGCGGCATGTGTGGAGTGGTATTCCAGCGGAAGCACATGAGAGGTTGGTGCATGAGGCGTTACAAGAGGTATTTGGCTCGCCCTAGTGAGGACGAATGGACAGGAAACTGATAGTGCTGCCGTAACGTGAGCTTATGGGCCCAGAAGGAGAGATGGTGCGGCATGTGTGGAGTGGCATTTCTGCGGAAGCACATGAGGGTGGTGTACCGTAATCTCCCGGCATGATTACCCCCCCGAAAAAGGGACTCTGGGTATTTTTTCCGGACCATGGGTCTTAATATCGTAAAGGGATTGTGAGGACCCGCTGTTTGGGGTAAATCATTTGAGGACCCCTCCTTTCCTGTTTTAAGAGGTTTTCCCAGCAGTTTTTGCTCAATTTCAAAATGCGTCATGCACTACGGAGTCAACTTCCACATCATGGAGGGAGTCATGCCTGCCTGGCACGTGAAACCTCTCAATGGGGTGGACCGTGGGGAGACTTCGTGAACGAACCTCCCCCCTCGTAATGACTCCTGCTGGCAGTCAAGAAGCCCGCGCGACGCGCCAGCGCTGGAAAGTTGCCAGCCGTTGGTGCTAAGATATCGACGCGTGTGTCAACTTATACATATTATCTATGTAGAAGTTATAGGCTAGACTGAGGTATGCTTCTAGTGAGTACAACCAACTAGTATTTGTTCTAGGTTTCCACCTCTAGTAATCATTCGTTTCTACGTTAACATGGTATCACGCTTAGGTTAGGATCCCCCCGCCTACCGCTTCCGCCCGTCGCGCCTCCTAGGCCCCGTCGCGCCCCCTAGGCCCCGTCGCGCCCCCCCTGGGCCCCGTCGCGCTCGTTAGGCCCCGTCGCGCCCCCCCTGGGCCCCGTCGTGCCCGCTAGGCCCCGTCGCGCCTCCTAGGCTCCGTCGCGCTCCCCCTGGGCCCCGTCGCGCCCGCTGGGTCCCGTCGCGACCCCTAGGCCCTAACGCGCCCCCGTTGGGCCCCGTTGCGCCTCCTAGGCCCCGTCGCGCCCCCCATGGGCCCCGTCGAGCCCGCTGAGCCCCGTCGTGCCTCCTAGGCATCGTCACGCCTCCTAAGCCCCATCGCGTCCCCCCCCTCTGGGCCCCGTCGCGCCCGTTCGGCCCCGTCGCGCCCCTCCTAGGCCCCGTCGCGCCCGCTGGGCCCCTTCGCGCTTCCTAGGCCCCGTCGCGCCTGCTAGGCCCCGTCGCGCCCCCCCTGGGCCCCGTCGCGCCCGTTAGGCCCCGTCGCGGCCCCCCTGGGCCCCGTCGTGCCCGCTGGTCCCCGTCGCGCCTCCTCGGCCCCGTCGCGCCCCCCCTGGGCCCCGTCGTGCCCGCTGGGCCCCGTCGCGCCCCTTAGGCCCCGTCGCGCCCGCTGGCCCCTGTCGCGCCTGCTGTTAGCGCTCGCCCGCCTGGCCTCCTCCTAGTGCCGCTCGGCCTCCTCCTAGTGCCGCCCGGCCTCCTCCTAGTGCCGCCCGGCCCCTTCCTAGCGCCGCCCGGCCTCTCCTCAGCGCTGCCCGGCCCCTCCTCGTGCCCGACCGGCCCCAGCAGCACCAGCCTGGCCCCTCCCAGCACCAGCCCGGCCCCAGAGCACCTGCCCGCCTCCCCTGCTCGGCCTGCCGTGTCCTCTCGGGCCCTGTGTCTTCTGCTTGCCTGCGCTGGGACGCCTAGCTGCTGCCCTACTGGAGAGTGCTGCCGCCGTGTCCCCGCGCCGCTGTGCTCCTGTGCCGCTGAGGAGCTGTGCTGCTGTGCCGCTGTGTCGCCGAGGAGCTGTGCCGCTGACCCTGCACGATGGCTGACTTTGTGCTCCGCCTGGACGCTGAGGGCCACGCGGTTGACTTCGCCGCCTGGCTCTCCGATCTTCGCCGCCAGCTTACAGGTCAGCGCCAGGATGGCCACTCTCTGGTTGTCCATGCTGATGGCTTGCTCCCCCGTCCCCCTGCACCTACTCCCCTCCCTGCTGACCCCTCCTCTGATGACCGTGAGGCTTTCTCTACTGCTGCGCTGGCCTGTGCGGTCTGGGACTCACGCGATGCAGTAGCTCAGGTTGCTATTAGTCACGCCCTCCCTGTGTCTGAGCGCTCGCGTTTTGCTACTGTTGAAACGGCCAAAGCTTATTTAGACGCCGTTATTGCTCGCTATTCCACCCCTGCCTCCGCTTCTGCTGGCCGCTTGCTCTTTCCGATGCTGTTCCCAGACCTGGCTGCCTTCCCTACTGTCGCAGATTTTGCCACTCATTTGCGTGCCCTAGAGACTCGCTATCGCACTGCCAGCACTGCTGCCCAGCTCACTGCGCTCCCCCCTCCTTTCTGCATGACGCTCTATTTTATCGCTATGCGCCTGCCAGACCGCCTCGCTAGTGCTCGCGACCACTTTCTTAGCCAGCACCCGGGTGACCTCACCCTGACCGCCTTTGTCGACACCCTCACTGAGATCGAGACTCGCCAGCGCACTATCGCTCAGTCGAGCGGTGCGCCGGCAGTCTCTATCTTTCACGGCTGTGCCCCATCCCAGTGCACGTTCACTGACGTTTCGGCTGCGGTCGCCACGACGACCCCTCTTACCGAGACGGCTGCTGCTGTCCACCCGCAGCAGCGCTCGCGTCGCGGTGGCCGTGGCCGCCAGGGAGGTAGGGGTGGTGACGCAGGTGGTAGTGGTCGTGGTGGTGGTGACGGTAGTCCGCCTGAGGGGACTACCACCGGTGGGCAGGAGCAGCAGCCCCAGCAGCAGCAGGACCAGCCCCAGCCGCAGCCGCCGTCCCAGCAGCACCCGCCGCAGCCGTGGGCTCGTCTCCCGCCTGGTTGGCCCGGCACCTCCGGAGGCGGTGGCCGTGGTGGCGGCCCGCGCAGCTTGGCGTCTACCAGCGGCTCCAGTGCTGTGACCTGCCAGTACCAGCTTCAGACTGGGCCTCTCCGCGGCACTCTGTGCCGCCGCCCGCACCCGACCGCCCGCTGTTTCCGCCGCCTCGACGATCTTTTTCGTCGTCGCTTTGGCCCGGCCCCGGACCTCCCTGACTGGCACAGCCTGCTCCGCCAGGGCGTGCCGATCTTTGAGTTAGACATGGATCAGATAGGTGCTGCTTTGCATGCTTTGTATGCTGACGCTTCTAGTGTTGCTGGATCTTACTACCCTGTGTACTCTAGTTTAGGTGTTTCACCCTTGTGTAGCTTAGCTTCCCCTGCTGCGACAGGCGTAGGACTGCCTAGGTTGCCTAGTCTAGTCGCTGCACCGGCTCCGTCCCCGGCCTCCGCCACTGCGTCGCTGTCCTTCACTCTCGACTCTGGTGCTTCTGCCTGCTTCTTCCGCGACCGTTCCACGCTCACGCCGCTTGCTGCACCTGCTGTTGTCTCTCTCGCTGACCCCTCTGCGGGTCCAGTCGTCGCGCGCAGTTCTACGTCCCTTCCCTGTCCGGCAGTTCCCTCAGGCTCCCTTACTGGCCTCCACGTTCCCTCGTTCTCCAGGAACCTGGTTGGTGTCGGCTGTCTCCAGGACCTCGGCGTCACCACCACGTTCCCCGGGCACGAGCGGTTCGCTGTCTGTTCTGAGGCTGTCTCAGGTTCCCCCCTTGCGACGTTCCCCCGGGACCCGGTGTCCGGTCTGTTTACCCTACACACCGCTTCCCCCCCGGTTGGTGCGTCCTCCCAGGTCGCTGCAGCTTGCTCGTGTCGGTCCCTCACTCACCCCTCCCTTCTCTGGCACCACCGCTTCGGTCACCCTGCTCTCCCGCGTCTGCGTCACATGTCCCAGCACGGTCTTGTCTTAGGTCTCCCCGCGTCGCTCCCTGCCCTTCCTCCCTCGACTGCGCCACCGTGCACGCCTTGCGTCGAGGGTCGGCTCCGCCGTGCTCCTCACTCCTCCTCGCTGCGTCCTGCTACTGCCCCCCTTAAGACCCTGCACTTGGACGTTTGGGGCCCTGCCCCCGTCCCCGGACCGCGCGGTGAGCGCTACTTCCTTGTGCTCGTCAACGACTACACGCGCTACACCACGGTGTTTCCCCTGGAGCGGAAGGCCGACGTGCCCGACGTTCTTCTCCCGTGGGTTGTGGCTGCGCGTCTCCACCGCGGTCTCCCCGTGTTGTGTCTCCACTCCGACCGTGGCGGCGAGTTCGCCTCTGGTCGGCTTGGACAGTTCTGTCGTGCGGAGGGCATCACCCAGTCGTACACGTTGCCGGACTCGCCACAGCAGAATGGGGTTGCTGAGCGCCGCCTCGGCTTGGTCATGGAGGTCGCCCGTACCTCCATGATCCATGCCGATGCCCCCCATTTTCTGTGGCCGTTCGCTGTTCGCTACGCGGCTCACCAGCTTAACCTGTGGCCACGCTCCCAGCGGCCGCAGGTTTCGCCGACCCTCCTTTGGACCGGGTCCCCCGGTGACGCGTCTGCGTTCCACGTCTGGGGCTGCCTTGCTCACGTTCGTGCCTCTGGCATGGACAAGCTCACTGCCCGCACTGTCCCCTGTGTCTTCCTCGGTTTCCCCCTGGACTCGTCTGACTGGCTTTTCTACCACCCGCCGTCTCACCGCTTCCTCCACTCTCGTGACGTCACCTTTGACGAGTCCGTCTCCTTCTACCGCCGCTTCCCTCACCGAGGTCTCCCAGTTGCCCCCCCCCTTTTCCTTGCTCCCTCTCCCCCGGTAGCCCCTGCCCCTCTCCCGCCTCGTCCTGCCCCGTCTGGTGTCTCCCACGTCACTCCCCTCCCGTCGGTTGTCCCCGTTGAGGAGTCTGCTGACTCTGGTGGTACCCCCGGTCCGTCCTTGCCGCGTCCCCCTTCCCCGGTGCCTCCGCCCCCACTGTCGCAGTCGCCGACCCCGCTGCCGCCGCCGTCGCCGTCGCCGCCGCAGCCGTCGCCGCTGTCGTCGCCGCCGCCGCCGCTGTCGCTGCCGCAGCCGTCGCCGCTGTCGCCGCCGCCGCAGCCGTTGCCGCCACTGCCGCCGCTGCTCTCGGCCCCTGGGGGTGCTGGTGTGGAGGAGGGTGTTCGTCCTGCGGCTTCTGGGGGTGCCGCTGGTGTTGGAGGGGGTTCTCGCTCTGGGGGTGTTGGTTCTGGGGGTGCTGCTATTGAGTGTTCTGCCGACGGTCGTTCTGCCTCTGCTGGTCCGAGAGTTCCGGCCCAGCCGTCGTCGCCGCCGCAGCAGCCGTCGCCGCCGGTTTCCGCTCTCCGCCTGCTCGGCCTTCCCTCCCCGGACCGCGCGCCGGTGTCTTCCCCACCGCCTCCTGACCTCCCTGTCTACGGTCCTGTGTTCCCGCCGCCAGACTCGTCTCCGGCCCGTCTTCCTCCTCGTTCCCCTCCTGTGTCTCCTCCGCTGTCCCCTGACCCTACCCCTCCGTCTCACGTTTGGGCTCGCCGTCCCTCCCGTGCTCGTCCCGTCTCTCCTGTCCTGCCCACCCACCCTATGTTGCTCCGTTCCCACTCGTCTCGTCCTCCCCTCCTCCCGTCCCCTCCTCCCTCGTCCCTTGCTGTTGCACCTCCTCCGTTCTCTGACTACCTCCGTGCTGCTCGTCCCCTTGTCCCTCGGGTCCTTGCCTCTCTTGTTACCGACCCTGCTGT